AAAAAAAAAAAAAAAAAAAAAAAAAAAAAAAAAAAAAAAAAAAAAAAAAAAAAAAAAAGAAAAGATTAAACACACCAAAGAGTTTAGACTGACCTAAGAGATTAATGATGCCGTCGTTGTAGCCGGCAAACAGCCGAATGAGATCTCGGAAGAGCAGCATGAAGGCCATGTTGATGACTCCGTTCGTGAGATCATTGGCCGAGCAGTCGAACTCGAGCAGCGAGTCGAGCTGGCTCTGCAGCACCGGCAGCGTCTTCAACAGCTTCTCCGCGTTCATCGTCCGAAGCGTGCCCTCCTCTTTCCTACGGTTTAATTTTTTTATTAGTTATTTCGTTTAAAATGAAAAGTTTTTGATTGTTCCCTCCATCGGGCAAAGGCTTACCCCCGCTTGACTTTGCAAAAGTCAAAGGCGACCGATCTGTAGGACATGGCCTTGTCGTTCAAGTATTTCGCGTACCTCCTGATGAACGGAGACATGTCGTATCCTGAAATAGCAAGATCTTTGGTATAATGTCGTCCAAAAAATTGAGGATGCTAAAATGCATTGGAAATCAACAAAAGAGAATAAAAGTCCTTTAAATTGACGTAAGAGTGAACATTTTAACAACAACAACAACACGCATGTAATGGATTTTTTAGTGCGTTAGTTAGAATAACTAATGGATTTTATTTGTGGCTACGCAAAAAATAAAAGAAACGATAATACCTCTCAAACATCGATGTACAAAATAACAAAGTATAGAGAATAATGTACAGGAAGTAAGAAATAAAAAAAAAAATCTCACTTACTAACGTAAACTCTTGACAAACAAACAAACAAACAAACAAACAAACAAAATATAGAAGTATGCGTGGCAAACAGACAAACAAAATAAGCTGTCCATCGATCCCAATTGCTCCTGTAGTTATTCCCCGCAAAATGTAAGAAACCTCGTTGTTTGAGCCTATATTAAAAAATTAATAATTCGTGCTATTGCCGAAAAAACCGTTGTAATTACCGCCAAATATTGTTTAATAATTGAGAAAACAGATTTTGCCCAACTTAGATTATACATTTGCCTGGTTAAGGCGGAAAAGAAATCATAGACGAAAAACTCCGACGGCACTTTGTCAAGAATACAATCAACTTTGAAGTTGTAAAGAAGAAAATGTTTTTAATTTTTTACCATATTTTTCAGCAATAATTTATTTTTGCTTAATAAATAAATGCTTACAACTTTGTCATATTTATATGTTGTAACGGTGCCCCACCGTTAGGCCAAGTTAGTAGGCTAGGGCGGGTAGAGAAAGGGGGAAAAAGAGTTCAAGGGACCTAAGTGGGAAAGTAGGGGTAAGGNTTTTATTAATTTTATTAATAAACATAGCGGCTAGTAAGGATTTCGTGTTGCATAGTAATTGGCGCTGTTGTTATTTTATCTGTTTCATTAATAAACAATGTGGCCAGTTTGCGCTCCGGGTTGTATGGTGATCGGTGATTGTGTTATTTTGTTCATTTAATTAATAAACAAAGTGGCTAGTGATCATTTCGTGTTGTGGAGTGATTGGCGCTTTTGTTTTTTTATTAATTTAAATAACAAAGAACGTGGCCAGTTAGCGCTCCGGGTTGTATGGTGATCGGTGCTTGCGTAATTTTATTTTATTAATTAATAAACAAAGCGGCTAGTTAGCGTCCTGGTTGTGTGGGATTTGGCACTCGCGTTATTTTATTCTTTTATTTGGTAAAGAAAATGGCTAGTAAGTGCCCCGGATGTCAGGGTTATTGGTGCTTTTGTTATTTTATCTATTTAATCGACAAACAGAGTGGCCAGTTAGCACTCTGGGGTGTGTGGTAATTGGCGCTTTTGTTATTTAAGGCATTTAATTAATTATTTAAGTGGCTAGTTTCTGCTCGTTGTTGTATGACGATCAGTTCTTGCGTTATTTTATTTATTCAATATATAAACAAAGTGGCTAGTTTGCGCCCTGATTGTGTTGAAATTGGCGCTCGCGTTATTTTATCTTTTTATTTAATAAACAAAGCTACTAGTAGGTGCCACGGGTTGTGTGTTAATTAGTGCTTTTGTTATTTTACTTATTTGCTCTATAAACAAAGTCGACAGTTAGCGCTCCAAGTTGCGTAGGGTTCAGCGCTTGCAGTCTTAAATTTATATAAGTAATAAACAAAGCTGCCAGTCAGCACCTTAGGTTGTGTGATAATTTGCATAATTGTTATTTTATTTAATTAAATAATAAACAAACAGGCCAGTTATCGCCTTGATCGTGTGAGATTTGGCGCTCCCGTTATTTTATTTTATTATTAAATAAATAAATCGGCTTGTAGGCGCCCAGAGTTGTGGGATTATTGGCGCTTTTGTTATTTGATCCATTTGATCAATAAACAAAGCCACCAGTTAGTACACCAGGTTGCGTGGGAATCGGCACTTGCGTCATTTTATTTATTTAGTTAATAATAAAGCTGCCAGTAAGCGCTCCGGGTTGGGGGGTGATTGGCGCTTTTGTTATTTGATCCATTTGATCAATAAACAAAGCTACCAATTAGTACACCAGGTTGTGTGGGGATCGGTGCTTAGGCTATTTTATTTATTTAGTTATTAATAAAGTGGCTAGTTAGCGCCCTTGGTTGTGGTGTGATTGGCGCTTTTGTTATTTTATTTATTCGAATTATTAACTAAGTGGCTAGTTTGCGCTTCGGGTTGTGTTGTGAATGACGCCTAATTATTCTATTTATTTGATTGATAAACAAAGCAACCAGTAAGCACCCTGATTTGTGTAGTGTTTGTCGCTTTTGTTATTTTATGGTACAAATTAATAAACAACGTGGCCAGTTCCTGCTCTTGGTTGTGTGGCGATCGACCCTTGTGTTATTTTTTTTCTCCTTCATTAGATACAGTGGATCGTGAGTGCCTAAGATTTTGCTGTGATTGGCACTTTAGTTATTTTTTTTGTTCATTTAATAAACCAAGCAGCTAGTTGCCGCTTTAGGTTGTGTGGTGAATGGCGCTTGTGTTATTTTTGATTATTTAATCAAAAAAAATCGACCAGTAAGCACCCTAGGTTGTTTGTTAATTAGCGCTCTTGTTATTTTGATTATTCATTTAATAACAAAGCGGCCAGTTAGCGTACCAGGTAGTGTGGGGATTGGAACTCGCATCATTTTATTTTTTTTATTAATAAACAAAGCGGTTAGTTAGTGCACAGTGTTGTGTAGGACGCGACGCTTGTGTTATTTTATTTATTTAATTGATAAACAAAGCAGCCAGTAATCATTTCATATTGTGAAGTGATTGGTACTTTTGTTTTTTTATTTATTTAAATAATAAAGAAATTGGCNTTATGGATTAAAAAAAAAAAAAAAAAAAAAAAACTTATTCATCACTATTACCAATCGATATAGAATACAAAGAAACGTTGAAAAAACTGTTTCCTTGAAGACCTTTTATTTATCGTTAAATATCTTTTAAGGATCTGAACGGCCCGCAACGGCCGCAACCTAGAAAAGAAAAATATTCTATCTAATCCAGCATTTGCTTTCGCTGCTGCTTCCACTCTTGCTTCTCTCTCGCCACGCATATCGTGATCTATATACGTATCTACAACGCACGCATGTATAGTGGAGCATAAAGGGAGTGGAGAGCCAATTAGCCAATGCTCCCGAAAGTGGCTTCCAAAGTAGCAAGAAATTCAAATTAGCTATATGGAGCAAAACGCAAAAACCCACAAAACTCAACGGAATTTCTAACATAATGAATAAATAAACCCCAAGCTATGAGACCCAATAACCCGATGCTAATTAACCAAGTAACACGAAACGCCTACTGGCAACTTTTAAATTTAATGCTGTAAATAATAACAAAAGCACCAATCACCACACAATCCGGGGCGCTTCTGGTCGCTTTGTTAATTAATATAATAAATAAAACAACACGAGGGCCATTCACCACACAACCCAAAGCGCTAACTGGATGCTTTGTTTATTAATTAAATAAATATAATAACAAAAGCGCCAATCACCACACAACCCAGGGCGCTTACTAGTCGCTTTGTTAATTAATATAAGAAATAAAATAACACAAGCGCCACTAACCACACAACCCATAGCACTAACTGGCCGCTTAGTTTATTAATTAAATAATCGAAATACCACAAGCGCAAATCACCACAAAACCCAGGGCGCTTACTGGTCGGTTTGCTAATTAATATAATAAATGAAATAACACAAGCGCCGATCCCCACACAACACAGGAAACCTACTTTCCACTTTGTTTACTAATAAAATAATCGAAATATCACAAGCGCCGATCACCATTTAATATTTTTTAAGCGAACAACTAAAAAAACAAAAGCACTAATCACTACACAACACGGAACGCTTACTTGTCGCTTTGTTTATTAATAAAATAAATAAAATAACAAAAGCTCAAATCATAACACAACCCTGAGTGCTCACTGAACACTTTTTTTATTAATTAAATAAAAAAATTAACACAAGGGCCAATCCCTTCACAAACCGTAGCGCTAACTGGCTGCTTTGTTTATTAATTAAATGAATAAAATAACACAAGCGCCAATCCCTACACAAATCAAAGCGCTAACTGTCCACTTTGTTTATTAATTAAATAATAAAAATAACACAGGCGCCATTCACCTAACAACTTAGAGCGCTTACTAGCCACTTTGTTTATTATAAAAAAAAAACAAAATAACGCAAGCGCCAATCCCCACAAACCCGGGACGCTTAGTGGTCGCTTTGTTAATTAATATAATAAACAAAATAACGCAAGCGTCAATCCCCACACAACACAGAACGAATACTGGTCGCTTCGTTTATTAATAAAATAAATTAAATAACCCAAAAGCCAATTACCAGGCAACCCAGGGCCCTTACTAGTCCCTTTGTTGATTAATAACTTTAAATTCATTATATTAATCAAAAAAGCGGCCAGTAAGCGCCCCAGGTTGTGTGGAAATTGGTGGTTGCACTATTTTATTTATTTATTTAATAAATAAATTGGCTAGTAAGTGCCCCAGGTTGTGGGGTGATTGGTGCTTGTGTCATTCTTTAATTAATTTAATTAATTAACAAATCTACCAGTAAGCGCCTTGCATTGTATGTGGGTCAGCGCTTGCGTTATGCTATTTTTTTAACTTATAAATAAAGCAACGAGTAAGCTCAATCAGGTCATGTATTAATTGGCGCTTACGATATTTTATTCATTTTATTAATAAATGAAGCAATAAGTTATCCCACTAAATTCTGCTGCTATGGACACTTTTCTTAATATTAAATCAATTTAATCGATCAACAATGCTTAGGGTTGTAAAGTAAGTGGCACTTGAAACATTATTCAATTATACTAATAAGTTAACAAACCAATTAGTAAGTACCCCGGGTTTTTTGTAAATTATCGTTTTTATTTTTCAATTTATCTTATTAATACATAAAGCGACCAGTAAGCTTTCTAGATTGTGGGGTAATTAGC